AGAAAGAGAGACAGAAACTGAATCTAGAAAGCTCAAATCTTAAACTTAAGCCTTTCTCGTTATTATGAGGTGTTGGTGAAACTTCCGGGTCGAGAGGCCAAAGTTCACGGGGATTTCCCATAGAGCTAGTTCAGTTTTACGTCTTAATTTTATGCTTATAAGGATAAAATTGCGTGGAAACTAATGAATTTTATTCAGAATGTTACTCAGTATTACAAAGCTGAAATTTATGCCAAAATACGCTAACACTAAAAAACAGTTCCCAAAAAGTTAAGCGACACTCGTTGGTCAGCAAGAGCTGGTTCGGTGAAAGCAGTGGTTTCCAGTTATGCAAATTTTAAAGATGCTTTGAATAAAATTTACGAAGATATTATTCAAAAGCTTGCCACAAAAGTTGAAGCTCGGGCTATTAAATGAGTTGAACTCACTGGAAATTGCTCTTATGGTAGAATTTTGGAGCGAAGTATTAGAAATCATGGATAAAACTAATACAGTGGTTATTGGTTAACGAACAAATCGGATAACGAACACCTCAAGAAGAACACACAAGAAGAAGCAACGTAAAATAATGAATACGATTGGTCTTCTTATGTCTTCAGGCAACAATTCTGAACTTTTCGGAGCGCGGAAGACGTCGACATCGACGCTCAACCCGGTATATACTGATCGGATAGTATTCCTCCGAACTTTGAAACTCTCCCTTGTAATTCCAACCTTTTATTTTTCTGACAGAAACAATTCTTTTATAGTATTGGCGAGACTGTCGGGTGGGCACTCATTAAGTTTTGCGTTGATTTTTCTTTTCGAAAGATGAGAGTATAATTGCAAAGGTAGAGTAGGCAGATGTCTGATGTTGCTGGGCAGTATGGCTCGAACAGGTCTACAGTAAGCCGCAGTTCAATCTTATCTAAGAAAGATACAGTATAATCAAGAAGATTCAAGCAGCTTAAGGAGTAACAAAAATCACATTTGTGAAATAAAGAACATTGATAAGTTCATAATGGAACTTAAAACTGATCTGACGACAGAAGAACACCAAGAAACTCGGCGAGATATGTTTTCTTCTGAAAAAGAGAATTAATGCCAATATCTGCTACGAAAGATCTTTTGAAGAAGTGAGGGGATGTCAGAACAACGGTCTTACAATGGCATCCAAACCAGGTTGAGGATGTGGCTACACGCCATATTTAAATCGTATATTTTGTATATAATTGTGTTATTTTATCTTGTATATTTTCCGCTTCCCCTCTGTCTGTCCTATTTGTCTACCCTTCCTGGAATGTTCTCGTTTTACCCTTGGCTTTGGTATGTGGGTGGACTAACCCGAGAAGCAACGAAAGGAATGCAGCTCTGAGGGGAGGGGGCGAACGGCGGTCACTCTGAAGAGGGAACCCGAAGGAGAGAGAGCGAGAGGAAGTCTCCCCAGTACGTTTAGCATCGTATGGTCGAGACGAGAACTTTGAAACGGAGAAAGAAAAGGAAATTAATTGTGACGAACAGGACGCATCGACCCTTCGGACTAATATCTTAAAGAGCGACAAAAAGGAAGCGAATCAGTCCCCAACCCAACGAGAACTCTCGTACACGAGCCCACACAAGCAGCATACCTCATCAAGTTTTGGGTACTCTCTTTCCTATCCCTTACTTTCATTCTCTCAAGTTTCTAATAGCCTTCTCTATTCAATAGTTGTAAGTAGTAATATGAATCTAGTTTTAATTAATATAATCTTAAATAATTGGATAATCGGGTCGGACAAAGGCTGCGCGTGCGCACTCTTTGTCGGGAGACCATATTGTGCGGTGGTCGAATAATTAATGATGTGGATTATTCGGTGGGTGTAGCATTGTTGGTATCCTTAGAAACCTGTATCTTAGCGAGTTAATAAAATTATTGTATTTTATTTTATCTATTTTCGATTGTGCATCTTTGTCTCACTCGCCTATTTCACAAAGGTATAGGCTTGGGGAGCTACAGTTACAATGCTATTAATTACTTCTGAAAAATCCTGAAGAAGAGAGAAAAACAATCGACATTAGACAGATTCTTTAACCCCCACAAACGGTCTTTAGAACGAATTAATTAATCAAATTCCCATTAAATCCTGTGGTAAATTGATAATCGGTTAACGAACAATTCGGACAGCGAACAAAGTCTTGGAACGGATTATGTTCGTTAAACGATCACCCACTGTACATCACTTCAAAAAATTGAATTTGATGACAATACCGAATTCCGCATAAATACATACCTTATTATGGATAAACTTCTATCAGAAGTACAAAAGAGAAATTGTGTCTATGATGACAGTTACTCAATATTTGGCTTTCTGGTCAATTTAAAAAATTTAAATAAAGATACGATTAGAAAGAATGCTGCAAAGTTATGTAAAACATGTTGACGATCTAAAAAATTTTATCGAAGAATGCCTTCATTTTAAACACGTTTATTTATGTGAAGATAAAGAAGATATATCTACTGCGGAAATTAGTTTGAGGACAATAATTGATTCAAAAATTGAGTCTACATTTCCTAACGTGGCCACAGCAATGAGCATTTTTTAAAATATCGCCGCTACACAAATTAAATGATTTAAGTATTTTGTCCATAGAAAGAGATTTATTTGCATGGCATCCGAGAAGTGTGTGAAAGAAACGAAGGCAGAGGAAAGTCATAATATCAACGATTGGGATGAAAAACGAAGGTGTCGCGAAGAACGAAAATGGTAGGCCATTTAGTCCTGTGGTTAGGGTGGTGCTGGATATAAAAGATAGTAAATTTGAATTTAGTAATTCAAATTTGTTGCCACATATTCCTTTATTCAATTTAGCGTTTAAACATTTATATTAAAGTTAAATTTATGTTCTTAAACACACAACTCCATAGGCGAGCTGTGTAGTTTCCAAGAAAATTAGTTTAAACAATTATTTATTATAATATTACTAATATATTATTTCTTTTAAACTCATGCAAGGCTAAAACTTGTGTGCATATAATAATTGACAATTATTTCTCTCGGTAGCCATCTTCGTGTCTTTCTTGAAATACGAGGATGATTCAAAAAGTAAGGTAACAAGAGCTCTCACGGGTGTCATATTCCTCCTGTTGTTCGAATTTTCCATTAGGGAAGCAGCAGGAGACCACAGTTTTATCGCATAGGCGTTAGATGGTGCAAATGTTGCGTCAGACTCTCGCAATATCATTTTGAAAATGGCTGCGCTCACGTGATCAAACGTGGAAATGCGTAGTGTGATTCGGTCTGAAGAGCAACTCAACAGTAGAAATTCATTGTCAACTTGTTGAGGTGTACGGTGGTAATGTCATGTCACGAAAATAGGTGTGGGTTTGGTGCACTGAGTTCGATAAAAGCAGGACAGATGTGCAAACTGAATTGTTACGGTGTTTCAAGTGTGAGTACTGGAACATCCTTCCTATAGCCACAACCTGGCACCGTCTGATTTCCATCTCTTTGGACCATTGAAGAAGCATCTGGATGGTAGGCGATTGTAAACTGATATGGAAGTTCAGCAAGCCGTCACGGCGTGGCTGAAGGGACTTGGCGCAGATTTCTTCTCTGCCGGCATCAATGCCTTGGTATATCGTTGAAATAAATGTTTGAACGAGCATAGTGACTATATTGAAAAATAGTATGTACCAGTGCCATAATAATCTGTATCACAATATCTGCCTGTGAAATAAAATGGAAATACTGTATAAACAACTATATATTAAAATTGAACAGAATGCATTAAAATTAATTTGATGTTGCAAAGTGTCCTAAATTTTTAAGTAATAAAATTATATCAAATCAAATTATTAAAGTAATGATTATGAAAATAACGTTTTAAATATTAATAATTATGAAAATAAATTTAGTGTTGTAACGAATAGTATATTCGGCCTCGGGTCGAATACCGAATATTCGGCCAGGAGCGTGGCCGAATGGCCGAATATTCGGCCAAACTATTCGGCCTGATTAATGCACGTACGAAAATTGGCGCGCAAACCGCATTATCCTGCTCTCTTGGCCCGCTGTCACTACGCTTCGCCAATCGCGTTAATTCTTGGCAGTTGTAGCGGGCAGACGAGTGTCATGGAAGTATGTGATAAATGATGATATCAAATGTGGATAACAATGAAATGACCTACACGTGTAAATAAAGGAAAAAGAACAGAGAAGGACCGCGAAGTGAAAATGTGAAAATAAATATGAAATTGAGTTGATAACATAATCGAACAAGTCGAGGCAGCTTATTGGCGCAAAATTCGCGACTGTCAATGCCAAACAATTGTTGTCATAGACTTCGGAAAGCTAAATGCTTGTAATGAAAGTCACTTAGCGTGCACGGGCGAAAGCCTGGGGCCGTTCGGGCTATCAAGCTGTCTCGAATCTGTAAAATCATAACTGTAACTTATATCGACGTCCTATCTGTCTCTTTTCTCCGTTATCACGTAATTGTAAAATGCTGTCACGTAATTGTAAAATGGGAACTCTACGACGGAAAAGTGACGAATCGAAAGTATCGTGAGCGCGTATTATGATGTATGCACAGGCATACGTGGACTAGAGCGATAGAGGGAAGAGCAAAGACAAGCGCTTAAAAAGAAGGATAGGCAGGGTCAGACCCTCAGATGTGCGACGATTCTCCAACGATAGACGTGTACGTGTGCTGATCTTTGCAATTATAAATTGTGAATACATGTGACTAATATTATTTTCTTTTTTATTTTGTGCATGTTACAAGTTATAAATAAATATAAACAAACAACACTAACTCGATAATATTAAATCTAAATAACAAAATGATTAATTTACTGTGTTTTTGTTATTTATTACTCCTGCTTTTAGGTATTCAGTATTCGGCCGAATAATGATTAAATAATCGGTATTCGACCGAATAGTGAAAAATAGGCCGCATACCGAATAGTAACCGAATATTCGTTACATCACTAGAAAATATCCATTTATTCTTATATGAGAACTCGTACCATCTAGTGTCAATTTTTGGAAATGCTTAAATTTTTAGACCACGTGCATAAAGTAAAATTTTTAAACACATAATTGCTGCTTCGTGGAATTATAAAAAACATGGGAAAATTAGAAACTCCCGATTGGAGTAACGTCCCTACATGGATGTTTAATCACGTCTACGAACCGGCAGAAGATACATTTCTTTTATTGGATGCCATCGAACACGATTTAGATAAAATAAAAAATTTAAAGTAAGAACAAATGCTATCAATTTCTCTAAGTAATTTAATTCATTACGATTATTTATGACGTTACGTGATAATCATTACCACGATAAGCAATTTTAATTAAAAAGAATGTGTGTAAAATTTGACTTTGACATACACTTGAATTTATTTGAATCTATGACATTTTATGATGCTTGATTAAGCTGAACTTGGGAAAATAAAAACCTTAAACAAACACCAGCCTATATTGAAACTCTTTTTGAGTAATAGTGTCCATATGAATATTAATTTACTTTAAACATTGTAATTCTTAAATTATATAAAGTCTAGTTTTTTAGCTATAAATATGATATGGTGTGATTGGTTTTATTGGTTCAGATTGAATTGATCACAGGTTCTATTTGTATTAGCAATGATATGTCACTTAAATTAGAAATGTGTAAACGATAAATAATTAAATACTATTGCTTTTTGTATCATTATACATAAGGTGTGTTTCAAATTTATACGGACATGAAAAACTTAAAGTGAAACCCAAATTTGCTGCATTAAGTGACAAATGTTTTATTAAAAATAACATGGATTTACATGTTTCCACACAGCAAAATAAGAATTTTAATCAAACATTAACATTTTGTCACTGAAAATAATATTTTTGAAAATTTTGTACAAAAAAACTGTTACATATTTATCTGGACAGGTTTCAAATTGCAAAGTTTTCTTACAATTTAATGGCCAATTTAACTTAATTACATTAAATACTCGATTAGGCATTGTTTCAATTAGATTCTGAAGGAATTCAACTTTAAGTTTATCCCAAGTATCTGAAATTGCTGCCTTCGAATCACGAATTGTGGGAAAACTGCTTTCCATTGGCATAAACTGTATGAACCATCATCCCCCAAAGATTTTCCATCAGATTCAGGTCAGGGCTTCTAGCTATTGATCCCCCACCCATTTGGCGTTTTGAAAATATTTGTTATTTGGTTCTTAAAATCGTGCCAATAATACTTTCAACCGTCTGGACCAGCTAAGATGAATTGTTTTTCATCACTGAACGAAACTTCAATTTATTCTTTGGACTATGCCATGTGTTTTTGTGCCCAATCAAGTCTGTCACTTTTGTGCTTTAATGAAAGTGGTGGCATTATAGCTTTTTTCTGAGTTTTAACGTTGGAGATTTATTTAAAACTCTCCACACTGTTGTGCTGCTACAAGGTAAGTCTAATTCTTGTTTTATTTTTCTTACTGATGTTTGTTTTGTGGAGCAAACCTTGATGATTTGTCTTCAATCTCGAGGTATAAGCTTGGGTTTTGGACCTGTCTTGAATTTTGGTACATCCTAGCCACGTCTTTTTGATAAATAATCACCAACAGTTGATTTTGGACGATTTATATATGCTGCAATTTCTCTTATTGACTTGCCTTGTGATTTATAGGCATCAATCTGCT